ATCCAACAAAAACACTATAAGTGAAGAAGAAGGTTCCTTTTATAAAACTCCCATTCAAAGAAGATGGCGCGACTGATAAAGTTAGTAGCGTCTTTTCTGTTGAAATGAAATCCATTGTTAGTGTTACTAAGCTAAGATGTGTGCTCTTTACGTCAACAGATATACAACGGTACCACAAAGATAAGCTGCCTATGGTGACCTTACGTTCGACTGTGCATCAATTCAAGTTCAATTGTGGAGCAACTTAGGTAGGCCCAACGAAAAGACAGTTATCTCAACGCATCAAAAAGACTATAAAGAGCTACAAGAAATACTCGATGCAGCTAACTGATGGTTTCTCACTAATAGCCTCGAATTCAACGTACAGGTTGTATCATTGCGTCACGGAGGTTGCTTTACATATGCACGTGAAAATCAGCCATTCCTACGAGTTTTGAACGAGAAGGATCAGGGAGTTGTTCGGGAGGATCCACATACTGTGCTAGAGCTTCACCAATGATTTTAAAGCAAGTTGGATTAGTTAAACGCTTTTTTAAACCGTTCGAAACAGGTTCCCTGTCCCCGTTTGCTTTCAGCATACATGAAACCACACACCAAGCATGTTATCCAAGTTTGGAATTCATGGCTAAATCGTGACAAAAAGCATCCGATCCACCGCAGACAATAGCTACCAAACGGATCAAAGGGTTGCAATCTAAAATCTATTATGAAAAACTGCAAATACGAGAACTGTATTCATCTCCATACCTCCAAGTTCGAGGAGACTTGATTGTCGTGCATCACATATAACATCAACCCAAACACCCGTGTAGTACTCTACTGACAATCCAGGAATAGTCAACTCAATGGATATGCCTTTCAAACTGTTGCCCCAAAAAAGTCGCCTAAACTGCTTTCATTTTCATTGTACCACCATCCGAACCCAGCATGTACAGATCCTGTGGGATTAAATAAGCTTTGGTAAATTACAGGTAACAAAAATTTGAATTTGAGCACAATCCATACTGGTTCATACATGGTGGGAGCGAATCTGTTTCAAGCTCAATTTTTGCTCATTTGATCGATACGCGGGATACCTGGTTGATGTGAAGTCGGCATTCACAATCTTTCATCAAGTCTCACAACAGCCCTCGAGAGCAATGCCGTTTTGGATGTCAGCGAACGCAGAGACGATTGGTCTGAACGGTGCGCAGCAAAAATTATTCAAAACACTCAAATTCCCCAGACAAAGAGAAAACAAAATCGCTTATACACGTGACAATGACGTAACAACTAAATTGGATTACGGAATTGAAATGTAAGAATCTGTTACTTTTCTCGGGCTCACTACTGTACACTTGACTTTTACTGTTTGAATTTGATGAATTTTGTTCCACTTGTGATTGTACAGGTGTACGTTTGCCCAGATCGTGTGTTGCTAATCAATATTTCAGATATTCCGGTATAAATTTAGCATTTACCGGTGTCAAGGTGTTACGTCTGATTGACGGTATCTTGCGGAGTTCAACGAATCGCAGAAGTAAAGGTTTCTCCAACTGATGAAGGATGAGGGTGAATGGAATTCACTGCTCTCGCCCTCCATGCGACGCGTCTCGCTAAGCACTTGGCGGAAAAGATGAGAATCTACTGCATCACTTGGTGATCGATAAAGCAACCGTTGTTTGGACAAGCCTCTCCCTTCGAAGACATGTCGTCGTACTTCACAACGGAACAGCTACGTACTAACAGGATATTATAAATGGATAACGTGACGCCTGAAACGGATATTTAGACACCTCGTATTGAAAAGGGTGCAGTTACTCAATTTTGTGGTCAGCCTTGAACTGTCCGACACTAGACCTAAGAAACCATGGGATTTACACGTAATTACCTTGGTTGTTAAATAGTGAATAGGCGTCTCGAGGTAGATTACTTTAAGTGACTGTCTATCCGGCCATACTGGCAAATGGGAAAACCGTCGGAACAGCGTGAACGATGAAATTATGCGTTCAGAACAGGGAAACGACAAGCAAGTTGTTAGACAGCACCCGAGTTTTGTCCCGAACTAGCATGACTTTAAACAGTGATTAAGGTTATCGTTCTTTTTGGATGAATAGAGGAATTTTCAATATATAAACATATCACAAGTAACGCGACAACGTTGCGAACATAAAAAAGTGAAGATACACTCGCTCTAGGGTGCATCAAATAATTCCAAGTGTAAAAACATAGTGAAGTAGAAGCTAGTAACATGAAGTATTCGAGTAATCTGCAGTCAGGTTCCAAAACATGTTGCTTCCAGCACCCAGTGAAGTGCTTTCTGACACTGAATTACCGTAAGACCATAAGAGGTAATATAACTCGCGGGTGAATCGCAATTGTAAAACAACTTTCATTGACGATTATATTGGGTACACTAGCCCCAAGAACACAAAAATAAGCACCATCATGCGATCAGAATTACTCTACTGATAAAGACTCACTTTACGAATGTAAACGTAAAGGAACGGTCCGAAAGCAACCACTTCATCCGTATCAAGCAAGTTACGCACTTGGCTGGCTACGCTAGCCAGATGCAATTGCGCTCGAGTCATCTCCGCGTCCAAGGAAGAACAGGACCAGCTGGGTTGGTTAGTACAGTGTGAATCAGAATAGATCAATCAAATGGGGATAAAACATCTACAGAAAAAATATGTGGAATGCGATAAACACCACAGAAATATTCCCTTGTGATCAAAAAGAGGACACGATGAAACCTCTCAAAACAGCGGGCCATTGTCTATTGGATGCTTCCGGATAAATCTATTTTGTAGTGTTCAGTAAAGGTTCCGTGATTTTTTAAAATAGCAGTTGACATTTCCTAAGCCCATGAGCGAGGTATTGCTTCGGGCACAATTCAGAGGAATCACTCGAACTTTATTCTCTAAGGCTACCCAGTTAACCGAACGCGCGCTTTGAGGAAAGCGGAAGGAACCCTAGAAAAATTGTTTCTTACCGGTTTTGTTCCATTGGATCCCGTCTTTACCAATTAGAGCGACAAATAATTTCCATAACACCTTGTTGTTCCCTTTGTATCGAAATGATAGTAATCACAAGATAGATGGTGGTAAACAGATTCAAAGGAGATAAAGCCCCATCCATGAGCATTGTAATGCCTTTTACCTGATTAACACTCGAGCCAAACGACAGTTTGGTGTTCGCGGGGCCAAACATGTATTAGGCGTGTGGTAGAGCCAAAGAAGGCGAAGACGACTCCTACACGAAAACGCCCAACGGCGCTTCTCATTGTTAAGCAAAAATATTCTTCCGCTTTTGTAACAATATCATGTACAAAATAATTGGTTCCAGTATTCCTAACTAGGAGAAGCTGATTCTGGCTGTGATACGGAACTATGATTCTTAGCTCGACTCTAGGCTTCACCATCCACTACTACTTATGAACCAATTAAGGATCTTGACTAGCTACCGTAAAAAGCAGCTTCTTGATAGTCTTAGGAGATCCAATTGTTGCCCCAGTAAATGATCTCATTGCATGTTTCTCTTGAAGCAAATACTGGGTGAACAACGAGGAGATAATGACTGCAAAGATTCCCCTCCTCCTCGTTCACTCATCTACAAATGACCTTGGTAATGATTCAACAACCCAGTTCTTTCCGCCTGAATCCATGTAATTATGTAAACGTCCATGCATGGTACTCTTGTTATAACATTCCAGCCTATCTAATGTGCTGATTGGGAGCACGCAAAACTGATGGTTAATATCAATTCTGCTGTTACTTCTTTTATTCAAACAGACAAAGCAGCTATTTCGACGTATTGCTGATGAAAAAATTATTTTCAACACACACAAACGAAAAACTTACCAAGACAAAGTGTCTAAAGCGTGCTGGAAATTTTCCATCGGATCGGCATCCATCTGCAAATGAAAATGAGTGAAAGACGTGTAACGAAATATAATGTGAACAGAGAATAAGTTGATGAAGAAAATCACATGGAAACGCGTGAAAACGACCAAAGTACTTCTTCGCGTCAAAAATAAGGGTTACGTGTACGTGTTCTGATCTCATCACAATAAACGTGGGCAGAAATGATGATGATCTTAACTTTAGAAAACTGTTGTGGTCAACTTAGAGTATCAAGCTTGGATTAGCCCATTCGATTGTTCAGAAGCACCCGGCACTCTTGATGGTCTTGGGTGTGGGTTTCGTTCTTTGGGAGATCGTTGATTTCCCTACGAGTGTTTGGTGCCAGTAAACAATCCAATGAGCTAATCCAACCTTGATACTCTAAAGTAATTGAGGCATTCGCAAAAGGTGATAACCGTCGACTGTGTAGCTCAGGGGTAAGTTTTAAGTCCCACCCGAATGTTAGCGGTTCGAGTCCCGACAGGGACACAAAAAGTACGCACTGCTGACGAGTCCCGAACGGGGCGAAACAGCTGTCCAGTACTCTTTGTCGGTTATCGCAAACATTTCCCTTGAATTTGTTGTGGTCAATGCTTGGTTGGACTCTGAGACCTGGCTCACTTATGTGCTCCTCTTAAAGATAACAGGAAAAAGAAGCATTATTGGCTGATGCAGAATGAGGAAGTGAAAACTATTAGCGCTGATCATCTTGCTTTGGAAAAAAGGTGAAGAATTGTCATTCATGTGTGCATATATTTTCACACACTCCGTTTAGCTCATCCACGGAGGCTTGTTATATCTGTTTATCACAACACACTTTGGTGGGGACTTTGAATTTGGCCATGCTATTTTCTTGTTATCGCTGGAGCCTTAGCATTTTTCACAAAAAATCACCTTAGAATGTACTTTCGTATTGATTACTGAGACCTCAATGATTAGCCACAACGGGCTTGATTTATTTTCTATTCGAGTATTAGTTGAAAATATCAAAACATGTGCGAACTACCTTGCACAAATTGTTTCACTCGTCCTTAATACATAAATATCAGGTGGACTAGTAGACAGAGCATGATGTCCGCATCACTCCAGTACCCAAGAAAGAAAAGGAGAATTTCCGGTTCATTGCTTCATCTTCAGTACTACTAAAGACTTTCGAGCGAATCAATATTAAGTATCTATCCTCTTCTCTTGTTTTTGTAATTCCAATCAGTTTGCCTTTTATATGCATCGCTCTACAGTAGATGCGGTTGCTTATCTTAGCCATTATGTTTTATCCAATATTGACCAAAAATATGTTTACCTTCTGGAATATGCAAACGCTTTTAACTCAGTTGTAGACGCTGTTACTGAAACACGATATCCCGCCACATCAGCTCAACTGAATGCATGACTATTTTACTAACCGACGATAATTCACTTGCCTTAATGGTACTACGTCTTC